TCCCATTATCTAAGTTACTGAGTTTCTTGCCATGTTTCCTAGTTAAGATTTTTTTTTTTTTTTGGCTGGGAAGAGACACAATGACCATGGCAACTTCTACAGAGGAAAACATTAATTGGGGTGGTGGCTTACAGTTCAGAGGTTCAGCCCATTATCACGTTGGGACATGGTGGTATGCAGGCAGACATGGTGCTGGCTATATCTTGATCAGAAGGCAATAGGAAGCAGACTCAGATACTGGGCAGCATCTTGAACATAGGGAGCTTCAAAGTCTGCCCCCACAGTGACACACTTCCTCCAACAAGCCCATTCCTACTCCAACAAAGCCACTTCTCCTAGTTGTGCCACTCCCTATGAGCTTATGGGGACCAATTACTTCAAACTACCGCACCATGTACTTCAAATACTTAAAGGTTGCATTAAGGGCTGGAAGGAGGCATCCAGAGGCTCATGAAGTCTAGAGAGAGCTAGGAGCCTCTCCTCTATTGGCTCTGTGGTACCCTGCACATGCATGTGGTGGAGAGCTGGGCTCATCCCATCCCACTACCACTCTCTCCATCTCTTCCTTGTCGTTACCCCCAGTGTGATAAAGGGTGCCTCTCCTAGGACAGTTCCTAAAGTTGCTGACAGCATTGAGTCTTCACCCTTCTCTCATGGTCAGTTGGGAATGCTAGATGCCCAGGGGTTTGGGAATCTGCTTGTATTCCTCAGCTCTTGAAGAGTATATCACTGTGATTTAGTTTTGCTGGTCAGCCAGATGTGCAGGATGGACCTCTCCCCAGAGAAAGAAAATCCCCAGAATGTTGTTTGAAAATAGATTCTTCTCTCATATTATACATCTGACAGTTTCTTTTTTCTCTGCTTTTCCTAGCCTCTTCTCCACTCCCCTCTTCCCCAGTCTACTCCCCTCTGTCTTTCTTCAGAAAAGAGCAGGCCTCCAAGAGACAACAACCAAACATGACAAAACAAGATACAGTAGAACAAGGCAACCCATAGGAGGAAAAGAGTCCCAAGAGTAGGTCGAGGAGCCAAAGACACACTGCTCCCACAGTTAGGAGCCCCCCAAAAGCTAACAGCCACAGCATGTCTTCAGAGAACCTGGTTCAGACCCCTGCAGGCTCAGAGCTGCTGCTTCATCTTTTGTGAACCCCTTTGCATTCTACTTAGTTGATTCAGTGAGCTGTGCTCCTCTGGTGTCCTCTGTCTGCTCTGACTCCTGCAGTCTTTCCTTCCTCTCTTCCATGGGATTTGCTGAGCTCCCATGAACACCTTCAATTTAGACTCTCCCTATATTGTCCAGTTGTGGTTGTCTCTGCTCCCATCTGCTGCCAGAGGAAGCCCTTCTGATGATGACTGGACAAGGTACCCATCTATGAGTATCACAGAATATCATAAAAAATCACTTCATGGATTTTTTTCCCCTTTCAGAGCATTTATGTTTGGTTCTACCCTAGGTCTCTGGGCTATCCAGTCTTGGGTTCCTGGCCATCTAGTGTCGGTCATGGCCTCTTGTTGACAGAGGTTTCTGTCCTGCCTGGTCTCACAGCTGTTTAGACCCAAATAAACACACAGAGGTCTATGTAATTATAAAGTGATTAGCCTAAGTAGCTCAAGTTTCTTATTAATTCTTATAACTTTATTAGCTCACAATTCTTGTTTTTGTTAGCCATGTGGCTTGGTACCTTTTTCAGTAAGGTAGTCACATCTTGCTTGCTCTGTGTCTGGCTTCCTCTGTGTCTGGGTGATGGTTGCAGACTGAAACTTCCCTCTTCCCAGAATTCTCATTGCCCCACCTCTACTTCCTGCCTGGTCATCTGTGTATTGGGTTTGGATCATTCTTATTAAACAAAAGGGGGAGATGATGGGGGAAACCTTATTAGCCAATTATCTTTAAGATAATTATCTGTAAGATAATGGTGCTCTCTGCACCATTCCCACGGAACACTGCTGTGCTTGGGTTTCTCATTTCCTGTTTTGTGAGTTTCCCCCTCATAATAAATAAAAATATAATTATTGTATCCCTTAGCTAGCCTGGTTATTTCAACAGGCTCTCTCTTGTGGGGTGGGCCTCAAGTTAAATAGTTGGCCACTCCCACAAGTTCTGTGCCACCATTGTCCCAGCACATCTTTCAGGCAAGGCAGATTGTAGGACACAGGTTTCCTGGATGGTTTGGTGTCCATATTTCTCTTTTGGCAGCCTACAGTGTTTCTTCCTGCATCAAAGAGCCTAGAACCCAGGGTAAAAGCTCTGTAGAGGCACTAGCTGGACCTTCTGTGTTCAATGAGCTGTGTGGATGTTGTCCTCAGCAATAGGGTCCCGCTCTAGGTGTGCAGAGAGTGACCTTCTTTCTGAGCATCAGCCTCCTTGGCCAACAACTCAACTTAATGCCACCCAGTCCCACTATCGGGAGTCTTGCTTGGCTACAAGCGGTGTCTGCTTCAGACTCCTCATCCTTTAGAGTACTAGTAATTCTCACTAGGATCATCCCCATAGATTCTAGGGAGCTTCTGCTGCACTGGGTTTCCACAGCACCCCTAAGCGCTCCCCAATTTCAGTCATCAAGCCCCAGCTCTTTCCCTCTACCTTACCCTCCCTCCACACTGAATCCTGTCCCCACCTGTCACTAGTCTGCCTGCAAAATCTATTCTATTTACCCTTCCCAGGGAGATTCATGTATTCCCCTGCCCCAAGAGACCTTCTCTTTACCTAATTTCTCTGAGTCTATGGCTTGTAGATTGGTTATCTTTTACTTATTGAATAATAATGACTCATAAATTCACATGCCATATTTATCTTTCTGAAATCTCCTAAATTTAACGGCACAGTTTCTGTCACTTTGGGGATTCAGTAACTTATGATTGTCCATGCCCTCTCAATCTTGGGCATCATTTTCTAAAATAGTGAAGAGCTGGGATTTTTAACAGAATTGAAAAGAACGCATAATAAGCAAATTAAAAAAAAGAAACCTATGCGAGACCCTATTGCTGGCAGTCAGGGAGACATGCAACGAGCTCAACCCCTGTTAGGCCCTGCTGCTGGCGGTCAGGGAGACTTACAAGGGTGTAGGACTCTTCCCCTGTCCTACATTGTCATGAATCTTTCATGGTGGCTGAGAGATAAATAGCCTGCTTTGAAACAGCAGGATTGACCAATTGATTTTTCAGAGTGTTTTATGGAGTGTTTCATTTCCAGAGAAACTTGACATTGATCCGCCGGGCTGCCCTACAAGTGGAGTTACAGCATTTAGTATGTTTATGGAATTGTTCATACATGTCTAAATTACAAAGCAAAGAAATTTTTCAACCCAATTCCTCTACTCTTTTTGCTCTGAAAGCACCAATCAGGCATGGCCAAGGATCACGGCTGGAAAGTGAGCGCAGAGGTTGTCATTGAAAGGGGTATAGTTTTAATTCACCTTATCATCTACTCTCTAGCCTAGGCCAATAAATATTTCCCTTTAGGAAATGTTCATCAACAGCATGAGAAGATTCATGAGAGGCAATGAGATCTTAGCTCTGAAAGGAGGGGAAAGCTAGCCCCATGGTGCATGGCAGTGAGTGACGGAGGTAGAGAAGGCTTGGCCCCTAAAGCAGCCCTGTTCAGGAGGAACTTTGGGAGGTGACTGGGTCATGAGTGTTCTGACCTCAGTTGGATTGGCCGACTAGTGGATTTATGGTTTTGTGGACTATTGGCAGGTGGTGCCTAGCTGGAGGAAGCCGGTCCTTAGAGGCAAGCCCTCTAGGGAGTGATTTCTCTTGAGCCCTTCCCATTCCTCTCTCCTGTTTCTGTGCCTCCGGCCACCATGATGTGAGCAGCTCCACTCTCTCATACGCATCTACCAAGATGCTTGGCTTTGCCCCAGACACAGGGCAGTGGGTTCAGGCAACCACAGGATCAAACCTCTGAAACCAAGGTTCCCGAATGGCTCTGTAGCTCAGGCTGACTGCCAAACTCACTGTCCTCTTGCCGTTAGCCTTGCTAGTGCTGGGATTATAGGAACAGGTCATCTTGCCTGGCTTAGACCTTGCCTCCTTTTAAGTTATTCTGATTTTTTTTAATTGTATTTACTTTTGAGGGTTTCACACTGTAGCCAAGACTGGGCTAGAACTCACTGTATGTCCCAGTCTGGCTTCCAGACTTGGGTTATTCTCTTACCTTAGGCTCCTGAGTGGCGGGGGATAACAGAAGTTAGCCATCACTGCCTGCTATGTTTATCACTGCAACAGAAAGCAGAATCACAGAGACATCAATGAAAAGGGATGATATCAAAGCAAGATAAACCATTGCTGAATGAAATGGCTGGTTGAAGGCGGTATTTAAGCTAGGGCTGTGGGGGAAGGCTTGTTAAGGCTTTAGTAGGGTAGGCTTTGGCAGGAAGGGATTTGGAGAGACCTGTTCTTGACTTGATGAGCTGGAGATGTCTGTGGAACATCCAACAGGAAGCGGCACAAGGGACCTGGCATCTCTGAGAGAAGCCAGGGCAAGTGCCCTATTTAAAGCAGCAACACCAGATGGTGTGTGGATGAGACATAGAGGGCCGTTCTTCACACAGAGGGCTGGCTTCTCTCTTGGTCTCTGCATCAGTCCTGCCGTCAGCATCTCTGTGTTCAGACTCCTCTGCCTAATGCACCTCAGAGGCCTTGGCTTGCTTTCCGGAAGGAGTCTGTTGTTTAGGGCTTTCTCTTTCCACACAGAGAAGGGATGCAATGGAAAGGTGGTACTGATTTTAAGGCTACTAAATGCAGCTTGATGATGTATGGTTGTGCCAGAGGTTTAGGTTCAGGTAGATACCTTGTTAATCGGCAGAATTTTAATATGGAGCAGTTTACTTACTTTTCTGCTTGCTGTGACAGAATGCTTGGTGGAAACAACTCATGGGAGGAAGGCTTCATTTGGCTCATGGTTTCAGGGGACTTTGGAGTCTCATGCAAGGCGCATCTTTGTATGGTGCTAAGCTATAGTGCTACGGAACTTACAGCACGACTTGTTCATATCTTAGTGCATCAGGAAGAAGAGAACTTGGTCCAGAACGAGAAGTAGATAACACCTGGATGTCCTGCCCTATTAAGACCTGATTCTGCTAGTCACCACCTCCTGCTCCACATGCCCTTCAACCTCCCCTGACGGAACTGCTCGCTGGGGACCAAGCATTGAAGAGCACAGCCTGTAGAATGCACGTCACATTCACAACGTAACAGGAACTAATCATCTTGCTTCTGTGCGTGGATGCTGGAAGGAGGGAATGCTAATTTCTTCCCTCTGTCTTGGTCTCCAGCATCCACTAGAAGGCATTTCTGTGTAAGCATTCACCCCACTGTGCAGCATCGCGGTCACATTGTGGGAACTGTGGCCCCAGCACTCCCTGTGTAACTCGGAACTCCACAGAGGATGCAGCTTACAAAGACACAAAGGAGGAGAAGAGGAGCCCAGGCCCGTTTCCTCCTTTGATCTCCTTTGCATGTGTGGATTCCTCTCTCCCTCCTGTACCCATGACTATGATGAAGCATCACCGGCTTCTTTTCCAGAGCATCAGGTAATTAAACAGATTCTGCTTATGAGTTTATGATTTGCCGAGGATTCACACTCACCAAGCCGTTCTGGTTTATCTGTATGGCAGGATCACATCCAGGTTAACTCCGTTTCAGTTCTGAGAAAGCAACTGCTTAGAAAACATGAATAACTTCCGGGTTAATTGGTGCTGATAGCTGTGCTGTTTTCCATTGAGCCACAGTCTGCTGAAGCTGGGTGAGTGTTTTAATGCATAGAATTCAGCGAGAAGGCATTCTATGTTATAAAAGCAAGATGATCAGAGCGGTAGACACAAGGTAAGTGCTAGGCATTCCGAAGAAATGTCAATTAAACAAGGCATCCAAGGAAGATGAGCCGGAAAGCCAGAACAGGAGAAGATATGGCTGGAGGCGCAGAGTGGCGAGTGAAGAACTGGACATTTCTTTCCTCTCTGCTGCTACCTTTTAACAGATAAGTCATGTCCTATTGTATTGGTCAAGACTTGGAAGAGCTTTTCTTCCTTTCTATAAAAGGGGGACAATGATCTACACTGGCAGCTGGAGAGTTTAGACGAGATGTTCACCCAAGGAAGTTGCATGCAGAATTCTAAGAGTTGAGGGAGCCACACTAGATGACACAGAGACCTATCATCACAGAGCAAAGGCTCTAGAGACACTGGGAAAGGGTGGTGTGTTGGTGGAGTGGCTCGTGAGAGAATGCAGCAACCTTTTCTCTGCAGACAGACTTACACATCTTCAAGAGTGCCTTAGTCAGGCTGGAAAATGAAGGAGGACCTGGACAGGGGTTTTAGTTTTTACGTCGTAAGTTAGAGGATGGGACTGGGAGGTGGCAAGTGTGAGGACCTGAGCTGCATTTGCAAAACTTTTGTAAATAGCTGGGCCTGGCAGTTCACACTTGTAACTCCAGCTCTGGGGGCAAAGACAGATGCCTAGGGCTGATTGGCCAGGCAGTCTCATCTAACTCATCAAATTCAAGCCAATGAGATACACTGTCTCAAATAAAAATGGCAGATAGCATGTGAAGAAGGATGCCTGAGGTTATGCCCTGGCCTCCACACATATGTACACACATACACACGTGCCTGCACACACACACACACACACACACACACACACACACACACACACAGAGGAACATGTACACAAATGTGCCTATATACATGCATTCACACACACATAGGCACCTATGCACACCTTGTACACCCTATAGGCATATATATGTTTACAAGCACACACATACACTCCATGTGAATCACACACACACCTATACACAGGTATCTGCACATACATGCATACACATACACATGTGCACCTGCACATGTATGTATCCACAAGTACACACAATCCTTAAAATGTGATGTTTATTTTCCTGCTACCACTAAGAAGAGCGTCTGATGTGCGAAAGGATTTTTTTATGCTTCTGGGAAAAGCAGTGTGAGTAACTGAAAGCTGTGCAGTTCGACAGAGGAGTGGGCATCTTGCCTGAAGCCTGCTGAGTTGTAAGGCGCACGACTGAAGGTCAAGGCGAGTATGCAAGTAGATATGGATTAATAAACACACAGGCACGTCTTACTGAGATAGTAATATTTGGATTATAAAACACTTTTAAGAACTATTTGAGCCCATGATTAATTGAGGTTCACAGATTTCAAGCAGTGAAATGTATTTTACTGCAGCTGCTATTAAGAACTCCTCTCAGCTATCTGATTCCTTGATTTCCCTAGTGAATTTTATAATCTAAATTAAACAGAGAATGGTATAAATTTTCCATTTTGGGGGGTATGATTAAAGCCAATATCATCTCAATATACTGTTGCATAATAGTTATATCTTACTCTATGGGACAATTTATTATGGATCTGATTATTCCCAGCATTTTTATGAATTGATCATAAGCCAATTTGAAAACTTACTGATCTAAATAAGTTCGGTAACAGCAGAATATACTGCCTTTAAGAATTAATAATGAAATAAATCAGGATCATAGAAACGAGCACCTCTCCTTGAATAAATTATAGTGTCACGAGGCCATGAATCATGTCTTATGGCATCTCTCTAACTCCACACACAATCTGTGGCTCTGGCCTCATCACCAATTCATAAGCATGACGGAGACAGAAAAATATTTTATGAATAAAATTTTTCCCTTAAAAAATTCCATAAGAGAGCCGGCGATATGTCCTTGCCATGCCATTATGAAAACCAGAGTTGAGATTCCCAGCACCCGAGGAAAGCCGGGAGGCTGTGGTACCCATGTCAGGAGTGGGAGACAGGGGATTGCTAGAAGAAGCTAGCTGGCCAGACTAGCAAAACCGGAGAGCTCTGGTTTCATGTAAGAGTCTTTCCCTTAGTATATAAAGTGTAAAGTGATCAAGGGAGACATGCAATGACAGCCTCTGCCCTCCACATGCACATGAGCAGATGTGCATGACCACCTGCCCACACACGTGTAGTCACACACGTACCACACATACCGAGAGTACTGTAAAAGACTAACAAGAGGACAAGTCCATATTTTTAAAATGATAAAATGGCCAACATATACCTTTATTCTTATGAAAATATCATTAACTTCCAAATAAGTAACGTATGCGTTTAGATAAGATAGAAGTTTACCACAGGTGATTTTCTCAAGCCTTTCAAAATGAGAATTGTTGCATACAAAGCCACTGGGCCTTCATCATGAGGGTTCTGCGGTGGAGGAAGAGTGGATGAGGACACGACCACTCCTTGTAAGCTGCAAGAACTGCTTCTCACTGCCTTGTGGTGCAGAAACCAAGTGGCCCATGGTGTGTGTGTGTGTGTGTGTGTGTGTGTGACCACAAATTGGGAAATGAAACACAGGTTTCTCAGAGGAAGTGGGGACTGTTGGCATGGACCCCTTTTTCCTGCCTGTCTCAGGGTTACTGGCTTCTCAATGGGCTGGAAACACACCTTCCTCAGGAGGCAGAGGATTCCTGATTCCTGGTGACAGCTGCTTCTCCCCAGTTCCCCGGAACTTTTGTAGGTGCTGGAACGCATGTATGTTCTCTATGCAAGAGTCAGCTGGATTAACTTTATGGAGTGTGTGTGAAGGACCACAGAGCAGTGGGGGAAATGGGCAATTAGGGGCCATCCATTCGGGGGAGGCTGTGCGATCTCCCTTTGCCCTTTGGTTTCAGCCTTCGAGAAAGTACAGAATCCATTGCTTTCCGGCCGGCACCCGAAAGATATCCGGCTTTTCTAACCTCCGTGTGGGCACCGAGGCTGCTTTGACTTTGAGCCTCATTGTGCTTCATAGGTCCTGCTGGGATCTTCTGGGCCTTGTGGAGAGACCTTGAAGGACACAATGGCACTTCCAGAAGTCTGGGTTCTTTCTCTCAATGGTGGTCTGAGCTGACTTCACTAGTTTCTTCCACTGGCTCTTTAAAAATGTTTCCTGTCAGGCGGTGGTGGTGCACGCCTTTAATCCCAGCGCTCGGGAGGCAGAGGCAGGCGGATCTCTGTGAGTTCGAGGCCAGCATGGTCTACAAGAGCTAGTTCCAGGACAGGCACCAAAGCTACAGAGAAACCTTGTCTCAAAACAAAAACAAAAAAAAAATGTTTCCCTTTCTACCGTGATCCATCTGTTAAGTGAAACCTACTGCCTCTTTGTACTCTGTGATCCTTAAAAAAGGTCCCACTTTGCTCTGTTGATACGCCTGAATTTGTAGTAATCACCCCTACCTAGTGGCTCCTCTGCAGCCACTCTCTGTGGTATTTTGCATTTAAATGTCCTTTGTAGGCTTCAATGCTGGTGGCATTGTTGTTTTTTGTTTGTTTGGTTTTTTCGAGGGGTGGAGTGGCGGAGGGAGCTGGTGTCATAGAACTTTTGAGATGTAGGACCTAGCTGGAAGAAATGGGTTTCTGGAGGTCAGGCGGAGAGTTGTATAGCCGGACTCATTACCTGACTATCCTGATTCCTGGTCTACCTCTACGGGTGTAAGCAGTGTCTTGTGCCTGCTTGCATGTCTTTTCTGCCATGGTGGGCTATACCAGGAAAACACAAGTCTAAGCAAACCCTTCCCTCTTTGGTGGCTCCTTGTTATTGGTTGCAGCAATGGCTTGAAGGTGGGAGGGGGGTGCTGTCAGAGTAGATAGTAAACTTGTCTTCTAAAGGAGCAGCCAGAAATGTCTCTGTTCTGTGTGGATCTGAACGTGTGTGGCAGAGTGAGACACTTACGTAAGGGAAGCCCTCGACCTTTCTGTGGACTGAGTAAGGAGACTGGGGTAGATGAGACTCAGCTGTACACAGCCAGTCCTCTTGTATAGCAGTTTGGCATCTCTGGACTCAACCACCAGCTGGAAATATTTGAAAAGAAACTGTGTATGTACTGGACAGGTCTTTTTGCTTATCTCTATTTCTTAAACAATATGATACAGCAACAATTTATATAATGTATAATATAAAATATATTTACATAATGCTGGAAATCACAAGCAATCTGGAGGTGGTTTGAAGCCTAGAGGAGCATATGCATAGGCTATGTGCAAATTCTACTCCATATAGATTTAGGACGTCAGCATCTGGAGATTTTGATATGCTTGCTGGATCCCGGAACACTCATGAATATTGAGTGACACCTGTAATCTGTACTTTCTGTCAATACTCTGATGTACAAAGGACAAGCACCAAGAGAATAGGGATGGAAGAGGCAGGTAAACTTGATTGAGCGGTTTCAGAAAGCATGTCAGGCCTGATATGCGTTCCTCCCTCCTTTCTGATTTAGAGTGGACCAACGTTTCTACCAATAAAGATCTTCAGCCAAGTTGGTCCTTAGCTTCTTTCTTGCTCACCATCTTTTCAATTCCCATGTGGCCACACTCTTACTAAGAAGACACAAGTGATGGGTCAAAGGCAGGGTGTTGGTTTGTTTACTAGCTTTACTGCCTAGCAACCTAGGGAGGGCCTTCTGTTAGCGAGCTGAGTTTTGGTGAACAAGAGTGTTGCCGAAGTCCGAGGGCTTGAAGAAGCTCTGGGCAGACAGAGACCTTCAGAATGCTGGGGGAAGTGCCTTCATCTGTGCTGAAGGTACTGTCCCGAGATGACCCCACAATGACCCCAGCCTTGTGTCATCCCCCTCTCCTGGAGTGGATGTGGTTTGTGGGTAAGTTGATGCTTCACTGTTGTGACTTGGTTCTTTTATGGTACAAGGGATTCTGCAGATGAAATTGAGCTCTGGAGTCGACTGCTCTTAA